ATCCCAACCCCTAAGATATCAGGTGTCCTAGAGTAAAGTTAATCTATTCTAGCTATGTTTCAAGTATGAGGTGTTACTCAAGTTGTTTTAATTTGCATTTTCTGACTGTTAGCAATCTTGAGTACTTTTAAAGTATTCTTTGATAGTTTTGTGTGCTTCTTTTGAGAGCTATTTGTTAACATTCTTTTATCACTTAACTATTAGGGAATAGCTCTCAATTTTTTGGATTTATGTCCATTCTGAATGTATTTTGGATGACAAATTTTTATCAGTCATGTTCTGGGCAAATATTTCCATTCCATATTTTCCTTAGCATTCTAGCTGTGTTTCTTTATGTTTATATAATTGAAATAGTCTGCTTTTATGCTGTGATATTCAATATGTCAGTACTAGTTTTAAATTCATACCCATCCATATTTCTGGAGGACATAACCTATTGTTTCACTTTTAGTGGTATTTCTTTCTATATTTAACATAAATATGACATGAATACAATGATGAACTTGAATGGAATGCTTAAGTTTTGAAAAACATTTTATATAATCTCATTTGAACCTCACAACCACCATATGATGTAGGTACAAGTGAATTGCTATTATTATCTTCATTTTACTGATGAGGAATCTAAATCAAAAGTTAAGTAACTTGTCTAGGTTGATGAAAATAGTGTCAGAATCAGGGTTTGAATCCAGATCTCATCTCACAGAAAAAATAGAGACCATCATCTTACCTATTCTATATCTCAAAATCCATTAAAATTATCCCCTATTTTTTCCTCCTTTATTTTAGTTTCTAGACAAGATCAAGACCTCTCTGCCCTTAATCTAATTCCTATTCATCTCCCCCAGCAGTTTGCCCCCTCTCTCTCATTTTTAATCTCTCCATCTATTAATTCCTTCCCTGATGTCTACAAACATATCTAGGTTTCTCTTACCCTGAAAAACAAAATAAAATAAAAACAAAACCCCCTCAAAACCTTCATTTGCCATCCCTCCAAGCTATTATCTTAAGTCCACAGCAAAATTCCTAGAAAAAGCCCTCTGTGTTGTCTATTTCTTTCCTCTCAATCATTTCTCAGCCCCTTGCTGTCTGGCTTCTGACCTCACCACTTGATCATGCTATATTCTCTATTGGACCAAGAGGTCCAACAACCTCTTAACTGCTTAAATCTGATGGTTTATTTTCAATCCTCAAACTCTTTGGACTCTTTGCAACATATGAAACTATTGAATACCTCTTCCTTCAGGACACATCTCTTCCCTAGGTTTTTGTGAAATTTCCCTCTATCTGGTTTTCCTTCTATCTGATTGTTCTTTCTCAGTCCTCTTTGCAGAATTGTTATCCATAGCCAGACACCCAACTAGGAGTGGCTTCCAATGACTCTGTCCTAGGTCCTTTTCTTGTTTTTTTTCTCTATACTGTTTCTTTCAATAATCTCATCAAGTCTCATGGATTCAATTATTTCTTTGTAAGACTCCCACGTCTGTATATTCAGCCCCAGTCTCTTTCCTGAGTTCCATTCTCAAATCACCAACTGCCTGTTGGATATCTCCAACTAAATATCCTGTGTGCATCTCCAATTCAAAATGTACCAAATGGAACTCTTTAAATCTTTCCCTCTAAATCCACCCCTTCTCCAAACCTCTTCATTTCTATTGAGGGCAACACCATCCTTTCAGTCACCTAAGTCTACTTGAAGAGGTCATTCTAAAATCTATTAGGTTTCAACTAAATGCAGAACATCAGGAGTTTTGAGCATGACTTTGTATAAAGTAATAAAGGCCATTGATCTCATTAAAAGAGCCAAACAGGGAAACTACGTTATACTAAAGGCACTATAGAAAATGAAATGATATCAATTTTAAATATATATGAGTAGGGACTGGATCTATGTAACTCCCAAGTGAAGAAATTTCCTCTGCCAATGCAGGTCAGCACCTTCTCTGCAACGTATAGTCTAAGAAATTTGCCTATAGCAAGAAGAGGTTCTAATATCATTATATATTCACTAAATGCCATTTTCTCCTGCTATTAAATAATGTTTTCAGCTTATTTTTCATTTGCAGAAACTAAGATATATATATATGTATATATGTATATATGTATATATGTATATGTATATATGTATATATGTATATATGTATATATATAGACACACAAACATATACACACATATATAATGTGTGTATATACATACATACATACATACACACACATATATGTGGAGAGAGAGAGGGAGAAAGAAAGAGGGGGAAGGAGTATGGCTTAATGTATAGAGTCCCCATCTAGGAGTTGAAAGGGAAGAAAGGAGAAGGGAATAAGTGCTTGTGTGTGTGTGTGTGTGTCTGTGTGTGTGTGTGTGTGTGTATGCGCGTGCACGTGGTTCCTACTATGTTCTAGGCACTGTGCTAATCACTTTACAAATACCTCTTTTGATTCTCACAACTTTGCAAAGTAGTTATTTTTATTATCCCCATTTTATAGTTAAGAAAACTGAGGTAAACAGAGTCACACAGATAGTAAGTGTCTGAGGCTGGATTTGAGCTCAGGTCTTCCTGACTCCAGTTGGAGTACAGAAGGCTTCAGTTCAAGTCCTGACTTTTGGACCCTCTGGACTTTGTAACCCTGGGCAAGTCACTTAACCTCTCAACGCCTTAGGCAACTCTCTAGGTCTCTAAGGTGCAGAATAGTTACAGATCTACAGGGGCAGAAGTTCCCTACACCAGTGAAATCACAGGTGTGTGCATGTATGTGTGTATGTGTGCACATAATACATATACATGTTTTGTATGTATATATTATGTACGTGGATGATGATTCTGTAAAGGAGATTGAAAAGCAGTGCCATGGGAGGGGAACCAGAGCAGAACAGCGGGCACAAAATCCCAGGGAGGAGAAAACATCCCAATGTATGGGGAGGTCAGCAGTGCCAAATATTGCAGTGTTCGAAAAAGGTGAGGACTGAGAATAAGTCATCAGAATTATCCTTTAAGAAATCATTGTCATACACACAGAGGTAGCCCACAGAGCACTATTCTGGGCTTCCCAACAGTTACCTCAGATTCTTTGCATTTGTAGGTCAAAATTCTCTCCAAAGCATACTCCTGAGCATCTACCAATACATTTTAGTTTTACCAGTGAGCCATAGTACTCACTTAGTTTACAGTATTTCAATTAAACAGCACTGTTTAATTAAATCATTGCACATTCCTTTAATATACCTTGAACTTACTCTTCCACAAATATATACATCCTTAGTGCGAAGAGTGGACTTGAGTGTACTTCTATAGGAATTAAGGGTCAGATATCTAAAAATGAAGAATAAATAAATGAAGGAATGATAAAGCATTTATTAAGTGATTGCAATGTGCCAAGTCCTGCACTGAACATTGGGAATACAAATACAAAAAAGGAAGACGATCTTTTGTCCTTAAGGGACTTCTATTTTGCAGTCCTTAACTCGAGTCTCATCTTCAGGGATATTTGAACCTCATCCATTTATTGGAGATTCTGTGCTTAGGCAACCTTTCCTAGGCGGAGAGGACCAGAGCTCTCCTCAGAATCCTCAGCCAATGTCTATGAAACTCACTCTTCTCCTTAGGCAGGCTTCATCAGAAAGTACAAAGAGCTAGAGACAAGAGGCTGACATCAGACTTCTTTGAACCCCTCTTGGAACTCTTCTATCAAGCTCTGAATTGAATTAAACTGTCCTCTGCCACTCCCCCAGGGAATTTTCTTCCAGCTGTGTCTTATAACTGATGGTCAGAAACTTTTGCTAGTTCTTAGGTCTTGCCAGACCCCTCCTGTCCACCCCCCAGCTGAGGTAAATCTCCCCAGAACTCTACTGCCTCAAACGAACAAAGGGATCGAGAGGCACTACAGTAAAGAAACTATTTTAGCCTCATCCCAGAAGCCTCTCTGTTCTCTGTAAAATAGCAACAATTGTGCCGGCTGTTTAATTCTGAAATATTTTTGTTCTTAGTCCTATACCCTTCATAAAACTTCCTCTCCACCTCCCCTATTATAATGACTGGGACTTCCTTGAGAGAAGGAACTGCTTTTGCCTTGTATCCCCAGAACTTAACACAGTGCCTGGCACATAGTAGCCATTTAATAAATGCTAGTTGAATGACTGGGGACACATCATGCAAACGGATAATTATTTGCATGGTCATTTGAGAAAGGAGAGAGCACAAAAGGATCTAATGTATTTATTTTGCTGGATAAGGTCTCTGGAATAAATGCTTATTTGCAGCAAATGCATCTGATGAAAGAATTAATTAGCCTACATTTGTCTATTGTACTGTGAATTAAATGTCTTTTTGGCTTTATTTTAAGAGGGCATAGGAAAGGACGGAAGGGGATGTGGGCGAGAAGTTGCTTGAAAAGATAGTGAGCAGAATACGGGCAAAACCTTTTATCTAGTCCCAACAGAAATAAGAAAGGCATGATTCATATGACAGCCTGCAAAAATGATGAAAGCCCATGAATAATTGATAGAATTGCCACAGGAAGATGGCTCTTTGTCAACTTGTGCCTCTTAATATCTCTATATCCTCAATTCCCAATGGGGGCAACTTTGATTAAAAAATTGTTTTAGTATCAAATATTAAATTCAACAAATATTTTATTAAGTATCTGCTATGTACAAAGCTTATTATGGTATTGTCTGATATGTCGGTCTAATAACTGAGTAACTGGTTAACAATATTTCTTTTCTAATTCCTAATAACCAAAGTTCAGGAAGGATAATATTTTATACAGATCTCTATACTTGGCTATTAAGGTTCCAGCATACACATTCATGGAATTAAAATTTGAGTAATCTAGTGTTCATTAAAATATGGGATCATCTATTTAATACTTCTGAAAATTCATAGCAGCAAATCAGATAAAAATCCATCTTTGTGCATAATATTTCAACCTTTGTTCAGTAAGACTTTGGTTATTCTAGGTGAAGAAAAATGAGAGAAAAAAGTTTTTTCTTTGTTTTCTTATAGGTCTTGAACCAGACTACCTTTTTATTTGCATGACAACTGATACAGACTCCTAAAAAAGTGGGAAGGTCATCTAGAGGTAATTAGCCCAACCTCCCACCCCATGCAGGTCTACTGTTCACATCATACCTGACAGGGTTAGTCTTTGCCAGCCACGAGGAGCTCAATGAAGTATTTTGAGTAAAAAAAGCTATTTGCATTGCTTTTTTTCAAATATTCCTTAGTTTGCAGGTTGCTTTTTGCCTGATAAAATATCTATCTGGGACCATACCTTACCTTTAGAATCACCTCCCCAAGGTGTAAGTGTTTTTGTCTTTGAAAGATGACCAGTGAAAACACTCACCAGGTGGCAGAGAAGTTTTGGAAATAATGACTTAAGCAGAGACAAACTCTTGATGTTTTCCCCTCCCAAAGAGCATGACACAGTGAAAAAAAAAAGAACAAAAAACAAAGAACAAAACCACAATCACCAATGAAATAAGAGAGGTTAGCTCTTTCAAGAACTCTTAGTCACTATTCTTTGGAGGCATCGAAGCCAAAACAATAAGGGAAACTGTTTGGTGGAATGAAGTAAAACTAACCAAGTTCAGCACCTGGTAAATAAAGGAAAAGAAGATGACTCAAGAAGTCAATCTGAATTCCCTCAAGGAACTGGAACGTGAGATGGTACTTCAGGTTTTGTACCGAGATCAGATGGTGCAAAAGGTTGAGGAGGAGAGGATAAGGTATGTCAACATTTGAACATGTCATGGTTTTGTTTTCTCTTTCTCGGTGTCACCCTTTATTGCATTTTTTTCTCTTCTGCTACTTTTAGAGCTAACTAACAAGTGGGTGGGTTACTTGGGGAAGTGGTTCTTAGCCTCTGAGAAAGTCCATAGGCTGAAGGAGTTGGGGTGGAGGTCACCATCACTGTCCATCTGAGATCAAAAAGTGGGCAGGAAGCTAGGGACCTGTCTTTCCTAGTCATTTTCAAATGATGCTTTGCTCTAACAAATGTTGCTTCACTGACTGGGGGTATCCTTCAATATACTCCAAAGGGCAAGTACCCTACAGTTAAGGACTTTTCACTCCAGTATTTGGAGGCAGAATTGGGAGTTTGTTGGTTAAAGGTACAAAACTGCTTGAGTGAAAGCTGGAACCTGATGCTGAGTAGGCTGCCAACTCAGATGGTGAGATGCCAATATATGCCGATAAACAAGCTTGCTCCCAGTTTGTCAGCCCAAAGTCCACATCTACTCATTTTTGTGACAGCGCATAGCTTCTGGATTTGGGAGAGGTAGAGGCTTATTTATATATGCGCCCAACACTTACCTTTCCACATATCCGCCAGACAATAAGAGGAGCTAATATAGTTGACAGTTTTGTGGACTTGCCTTGGTGGTTTTTAGTTTTCTCTTTGTTTCCAGGGCTCAGTTAAAGGAAATGTGGGGGATTTTATGCATTTAGAGCTGGAAGGAACCTTAGAGATCATCTAATCTAATCTTCTCATTTTACAGATGAAGCAGCTGAGTCCCAGAGAGGTTAAGGAAGTTGCTCAAAGACACTGAGCTAGTGAGTGAAAGAGGCAGGGCACAAACCCAGGGCTAACTCCAGAGTCATTGATCTTCCTACTACATTATGTTCTTAAGAGTTTAAAGAGTTTTAAACCTTGGGAATCGTGAAGTCCAGCCTCCTCTTCAGTTTACACATGGGAAAACTGAGGCCCTGAGATGAGGCCCAATAACCTCTTCTTTGCTGATACTTTCAAATAATTTTTGCATTTGAGTTTGCATTTGAATTGTAAGGAGAAAAAGCTGGAGCAGCAGTAAGAAGGGACTGAGTGAATGTGAAGAAATGACCTTTTCTTAAAAATTGCTGATCTGCCCCTTCAAAGAGGTCGTTCTGTGTACTCTTTTGTCCGTTTGACTGAGTAGCAAGGCTTGGGAATGGGGGGTTGGGGAATGGTCAATGAAATGAACGAGCAGCCTGGAGACATTACTTAAAATATAAATGTAGACAATTTTTTTCATGTTTCTTGCCTCTCTCTCTGCTTTCTAGGAGGAAGGAGATTATTACATGTAAATCTCTTTGATCTGTAATGTTGAATTAGAAAAGAATTACTAGAAATTGCTTCCATCTTTCTGTTACTATAAGCATTTTCCCCAGTATTTAACAAACATTATCGTTTAATAAGGCCATGTTAATATGTATTTAAACTATGCCCACATTTGTCAAGTACTTCAAAGTTACAAGTGCTTTGTTTATACATATATGTACATTATCCATCTGGACCCTCACCTTGGCCCTTATCAGGTAGACAGCACAAATATTATTAGCCCCATCTTGAAGATTTGGAAACTTAGATTATGAGAGATGAAATAGCTTGTCCAAACCATACAGCCTGTACATGATGGAACTGGAACTCTTGTCTGTAGATTCTCTGACCTTTCTACTCATTACTGAATAGATGTGGGCTTTTATGTATGTGTGAATACATGTGTATATACATGCTGGCTTTTCAGACAAACCCAGTATTACGTTGGTGCTTTGTGCTTTTTCTTAATGCTTTTGAAAGAGATGTGGCATGGGGGGGGGACACTTACAATGAATTTTTTCATCATTAGGTTAAGTGGCAGAAGTTTTAGACTCTGTCAATACAATAAAAAATATGAAGGAAGAAATCTACTTATAATGTCATTGCAGAAATTTTCTGGTTATCTGGAAGACATCCAGAGAACCATTTTAATTTCAATTCTTACTGTTGAAAAACCTTCCAAATGCATTCATAGACTTTTCTGCATCAGTGAATAGAGTGACTGGAGAAGATAAAGTCTTCTTTTATCATCAAGGAGCTGTCAGTGACGTGGAGCCATTTTTCTGAACATTAGTTCTCATAATCTAGTCATATAGATAGCTGTAGGAGGAAAGGAATCATAGACTCCTAGGATGGTAGGACTGGAAAGAATCCTTTTTAAAATATATTTTTATTGATATCTTTTATTTTTACATAATCTAATTTTCCAATGTATCCTCCTCCTTTCCCATCCAGAGAAATGTCCTTTATAATAGAAAAGAAGGGGGGAAAAGTTCACAAAAATTAACCAGCATAATGAGAACATCTGACATTATATGTAGTTTATACCCATAATCCCCCGCTCTGTAGGGAAGGTACTTTCTCATATCTTTGCATTGAGGCCAAGCTAGATCATTATAATTTTGCAGCCTTCAGTTTCAATTGTTTTATTTTTATTCTTTCCACTTGCCATACATATTGTAATAGGCATTGTGGTTCTGCTTACGTCATTTCGCCATTAGTTAATTTTCATGTTAGTCTTTCTGTGCTTCTATCATGTTCATTATCTCTTACCGCACATTAATGCTTCATTACATTCATCTATCATTGATAGGCATCTACTTTGTTTTCTGGAAGCAATCTTAGAGATTACCCCGCTCAGTCCCCTCATTTTTCAAGTACAAAACTGAGACCTAAAGTGAAGAAGTGAGTTGCCGAAAAGAAGATTGTTCACAGAGTGTCCCAACCCCAGTACATAATCGGGGGGGGGGGGGGAAGTTTTTTTTTTTAAAGAATTTCCCGATATGAGCTTGTTTTCTTGTGATTTTTTTTCTGGGTTCCTTAAGGCTCTTATAATACCTTTCTTAAAGATAGTGCTTGACATATAGCACTATATAAATTCTCATTCCCTTCTCCATTGTCCTTATTTATCTTTTTCACGACCCTAGCACAAGCACAGCCCTTTGACAGTGTAGCAGATGGAGTTAGCAAGCCCTGGATTCTAGTGAGATTGTGGGCAAGTTACATTACTTCCCTGAGTCTTGTTTTCCTCAACCGTAGAATGGGTGTGATACTTGTATTACCTTCCTCATGGGGTTTTGGGAAGGAAAACATTTTGTATGCTCTATAAATAGAAGCTGTTATTTGTCCTGGCCTTTTGATTTCATTGATGTAGGGAGGTTCCCTCTACCAATGCAAATCAGTCACTGTTTCTTCAATTTAGGGATAAATTGAAATAAATTCATCACCTATTAAGCAATATCTCCAGGGTTAGGCAAGCTGGTCATGGGATGACACAATAGACGTCAAAGATCTCTCCTTCTCTGACAGAGTCTAATAGTTTACAAATAACTTGGTTAACCAATCTGAACTGCTTATCCATCAGCGAAGCAGACAGTGCATTTCCCAGAGGTGGAACTTGAACCCAGGTCTTTCTGACTCAGAGCCCAATTTTCTATCATACAGTGTTGCTTCTTTAAGATAATATTAGATACGTAATAAATATTTGATGGAATGGAAAGGTTTGAAGTATGCTAGGCCTAAGTGTTTTGGATAACAATTAAAAAAAGTTTCAGATCAAATTACTTACCCATAAAATGGAGATAACAGTAATTGCACTCTCCGTTTTATAAGCTTATTATGAGAAAAAACATCACTGTAAGCTAAATAGCATTGTATTAGGGGACTTAGAGAATTGCAAATTTATCTTTCCCTAGAGACTTAATACTACCTTTTTTTCCCCCATGTCTTTCCTGGCTTTCTTTCTCACTACTTTATTTTGGGGGTGGTAGTGGTGGAATTACTACTATATATTATTATCCATTGTAGTAACACATTATATTATGTAATACATATCATTACATGTATATGGAATATGTTATATGATATGCATACTTTACATGTATCTGTAATGTATTATGAAAGCATATTATTATATGCACCATGATATATTTAATACACATTTTATACATATATGTGATATATTATATAAATATATCACGATATGTACCACATGTATTATAACATTAAATACATGTTTACATGTATAAGTAGTAATTATGTTATTATGTACATTACAATTTGTTATAATATGCAATGTATTTTACACATGTATTATATTATATAATTATATAATTATAACTTGTAACATATTAATTGTAATGTTATTAAGATGTTTTATGATTAATTAATTTATTAAGATTAATATTATTAAGAATATATTATACTATATTACTATTGTAATCCAATGTGCCTTGTTTGGAGGGGGTGAGAATGGGACAAAATTGAGACAGTATTGAGGGGTAGTGTCACCTTATGCTAAATTATGTTTTATCATTTGGTCCCTTGGGTTGACAGGAAGCTGAAACTGCACCTGCATGATCTTCGATGGAGACCAGCAAAGAACACAAATCAGGAATACAAAGAGAAGTTCTGTGCACGATGCCAGAAATCTCTGGGCTTGCTGATAAACCGAGGAGGTGTATGCCAGGGCTGCAGCCATCGAGTATGTTCCGAGTGTCGGGTCTTCCTGAGAAAAACCTACATGTGGAAATGTACTGTCTGCTTTGCTGATGGGTGAGCAGTCCACATTGGTTAACCAAGTTATTTGCAAACTAGCAGTTGTTGCTATGCTTACCAAGTCTATTTGACATAAATCTGGGAGGGGCAGCTAACACTGGACAACAAAATCAGTGATATCCAAGAGATCTTGACAGCTTGTCATGATGGGCCGTATTTAATAAAATAAACTTCACTAGGAATGTGTAAAGTTCTACTCTTAGGTTCAAAAAAACCCAGTTGCACAAGGCCTCTCTGGTGGAAGCATGGCAAGAGAAGGGTTCTGGTAATCTCTTGATCTGGGGATTTTAGTGAACCTCAAGGTCAGTATGAGTCACGTGGCAGGTGCTTAATAAATGTTTGTTGACTGTCAAATTATTAGACAAAGTGTAGGCTAGAAGTCTTTTACCCAGGACTACTGATTTCTTTAGGTTGCTTGGATTTCTTAGTTCCTCAGTTTAGCTCTTCTGTAAAATGGTGCTAATTTAGGGCCACCCTATTTCAGGACAATGAGATATGACTTTACCCAAGACCTGCTTGCATTAGGCTACCTTTATGCCTCTATCTTATCCTGGTACTTAGACAGAGGGTACCATGTGTAAGTTCTTTCACTTAGTCATAGCGAAACCACATCTTGGGATCCATCCTTCTTCTCTTCCTTTCACTTTGTGCAGCTCTTGTTCCTCTTGATCTTTTAATGACCCTGAAGAGTTGGGGGTTGGAAAAGATCACCACAGAAGCAGCTGAAAACAAGCACTTCTTTTCCAAGTGTTCCTAACACATCTGCCACGGGTAGCACTCAGGTCTCGCTGACTTCAGTCCCAACCCTCTAGCCACTGGACCTCCTAATTACTTTATTGTCCCAAGGTATGGGGAACATCCATTACATAATAGCTAACATTTGTAGAGAGCTTTAAAAATTTGCAAAGTGCCTTATATATGTTATCTCACCTGAACTTCACAACAACTCTGTGAGGTAGGGGCTAGTATTATTCCCATTTTACAGATAAGGAACCCAAGGCTGAGAGAGGTTAAATAAATTGCCCAAAATCATATAGAGAGTGTCCAAGAAAAGATCTAAATTCAGGAATTCCTGACTCCAAATCCCGGACTCTTTCCACTGCACCACTTAGCTGTCTGATGTTGTAATAGAAACTTTATCAGGTGAAAAACAACTAAATGGAAGGGCAATTAACATTACATCCATATGAACATACACTAGAGCACAGTTTCTGAACATTTTGTATCATAGACCTTTTTGGCAATCAGGTAAAGCCTATAAATGGAAATTTTCCCCCAGATAATTTCGTGGGCCCTCTAAAATCTGATATTAGGGCAGACTGCAAGTAGAGACACAGAATGCCAGAGCTGGAAGAGGTCTCAAAGATCACTCTGTCATAAGCTCTTAGGCTCATGAATTTAGAGTAGGTGGGGACATTAGAGGCCATCTGATCCAATCCACTCATTCTCTTTTTTCCATGTTTATTATTTTTTTTTAAATTCTGAACTTGACAGGGATCAAATAAGAAGAGCATTTGTATATACAAAATAGAACAGGAAAAGAGCACTGCACACAGACCTGCAAATCTGAGCAACACACAGCTTGTTGACTTCTCTTTCTGTCGATAATAAATTCTTTTATTGTTGCTTTCTTGTTTTATGTTTTATGTATTCTTTTAAAGGATTTTTAAATTTTATTTTTTTTAATGAACAAAAATATTTTTTTTCTTCCCCATTCTCTCCTTGAATTAAAAAAATCCCTTGCAACAAATATGCATAGTCAAGCAAAACACATTTCTACATTGGTCATATCCAAATATGTGTCTCATTGTGTACCTTGAGTCCATCACCTCTCTTTCAGGAGGTAAATAGCCAACTTCTTCATCAGTCTTCTGGAATCCTTGTTGTAGTGGTCATCATTTTTAAGTCTCTCAAAAGTTGTTTGTGTTTATAATGTTGTTGTTATTGTTTACGTTGTTCTGGTTCTGCTTACTTCACTCTGTATCAGTTCTACAAGTCTTCTCAGATTTCCTTGAAACTGCCCCCTTCATCATTTATTACAACACAATAGTACATCATTACATTCATCTCTCACAATTTTTTTCAGCCATTCCCCAATTGATGGGCACCCCCTTAGTCTTAACATGTTATTTTCAAAATTGATCTGCTTGTCTGTTTCTTACTCACTTTCCCTCTGTTCTCATTTATACATTTGAAAAATGCTTCAACACGCTTCTTTTCTAACTTTGTTTTATTTTGTTAACCCTATCACTAGCCCTCTCTCCTCTTCCCACTTCCCCTTCCAAAAAATTGAAAGAACCAAAACCAATGTATCAAAAATGCATTTGCAAGCAAAAAAACCCTCAGATTTTTGATGTATGAAAAATATACCTTGAATTCATCACCTTTCAGTCAGGAACCAACCCCATCACTTCACAGATGAGGAAACTAAAGCCCAAGGAAGAGATATGATTTGCCCAAGATCATACAGGATATAAGTGGAAAAGTAGGGCTTTGAATCCCTTCTGACATGAAATCCATCACTCTTATCATGAACTATGATGACTTTTGTAGGTGAAGAAGCTAAAATCCTAAGCCACTTGCCTAAGATCACCTAGGTTCTAAGTGTGTGTTAAGGGATGCCCTGAAAACACAAAGGCTGATGAAGCCTCATTGCATCTTGTTAGAAAGGGTGCACGCTTGTGGTTAGGGTTCATATGTGAAATTAGGAGGGCATGCCTTTAAAGACCTTGCTGCTCTAATGCAGAGAGCTGCCTCCTTCATTGCATACAGTAACTATGTAGAGTGATTGGACTGGGTCAGACCCCAAGGGACAATGCTCTTTCCTCAAACTTAAAAAACAAGAATTGATTATATTCTTAGTAATCTATGAAGTAGTAAGGAAAAAATACATGGAAAAAGGGGGGAAATCCTTTGTCTTGGAGTGGTTAGAAAGCTTTATTATTATCTTTGCCTTGTTTTTGTTTTGTTTTTAAAATATAGAATTATTTTCCATTCCCTTTTTGGGGATTACCCCTTCAAGGAAACTTGAGTTCAAAGATGTCCTGAGATCAAAGGTGTATTTAGCTCAGACCTATATCACATTCTGCCAACCAATCAATGAAAAGTGAGTGCATAAGTTGGTATGAGTTTGTGTGCACAAGGGCATAACTCACTTGCTTTTCAGTGTTTTGATCTGTGGCTTGTGTGATTGTAGAAAATAAGAAAAAGGGCTAGAATTTGACAGTGAATGAGTCTGGGAAAGTAGTTTGTAACCCTACGATTTAAAAACACGTCCTAAATAAAGCAGTAACAGCTATATGAGGCCCACTGGGAACAAGAATATTAAGGGTATTAATGTATTATGGATACAGCAGTTGATTCTAACTTCTCCTAAATCCTCAAGTATTATCTTTATTGACATCATAACACAAGTCTACTTAAGTTGCTTTTCAGGTGCTTCATCCATTTTAATCATCCAGTCAAAAAAGAGAGGTGAAATTGTTTAACCTACTTCCATTGGGACTATATTTTCTGTTCCTATACCATGCCAATTCACTAGAACTTTAACAGGGCAGCGGATAGAACAATGGGCTTAGAATCAGGGAAACTCATCTTTATGAGTTCAAATTCAGCCTCAGACACTTAGCTGTGTGACCCTGGGCAAGTCACTTAACCTTGATCAAGTTTCCTCATCCATCAAATGAGCTGGAGAAGGAAAATGGCAGACCACTTCAATATCTTTGCCAAGAAAACCACCAATGGGGTCACAAAAAATCATTGGGACACAACTGAACAAAAACAAATGACCTTTAACAATCCATATTTCTATTACATTGTAAGCGCAAAGCACTTTACTTACACTGTGTCATTTGATGCTTGCAATAACTCTGTAAGGCAGGTTGCAGTTAATCTTCATCTACAGATGAGGAAACTGAGACTCTGAGAAGCTGAATAATTTACCTAGTATCACAAAGATAGAAAGTTTCTGAGGTTGTATTTGAACTGAAGCCTCTTGACTCTATGTCTAGCATTCAAGTCACTATACCATATTGCTTCTTATGTAGCACAGCTACCCCTCTCCAACTCACATTTCTTGGATTTGGTTAGGTTAGTGCCCTTTGAGCTTTAATAAACACAACAGAGCCCAAACTAATATGGGCAAACAGGGCTTTGGCTTGGGGTGCCTGCATTGGAATGGGGTTGGAGGAAGTAATGAGCTTTCTGTCTAGAAGTTACATTTCCTTACCATGTCGAAACCCCCATCTCCTAAGAACCTCTTAATCCCCATATTTCACTTCCTGTTTCTCCAGAAGGTTGGCACAGAATTGGTCCCAAAGGATTCTATGGGGGAAGGTCTCCATCTCCCAGCACAACTGTATCCAAGGTGGTACTGTCCCTTCTGCTTCCCCTCTAATGTTCCATGTAAAAAACGGCCTTATAGAATTATTGTAAGGATCAAATGACATAATGTAGGTAAAGTACCTCTCTGTCCCAACTCAGTTTTTCCCAGACTTACTTTCAGCTAGTTAAGTATCTATTGAAGGAAAAACAAAGTTATTGTGGTAGGCCAAGTCTATGAGAAGGACTTGTATTGAATGACAGGCCAGTCTTTGCTCTAAAGAAAATATATAGTTCCACTGGATAATGTTTAGAATAAGAGTGTTTAACCTGATTTAAAATATATGTATATGACTGTGTTTCAATCCAACTCATTTACCTTATAACCCTAAGTATTTCATTTTATGAATTTAAAAATATTACTCAGAGAAAGTGTCCTCAGGCTTCAATAGACAGTCAGAGAGGTCTATGATATTAAAAAATTCTAAGAAACCTTGGTTGAGAAGGATTTCAACTTATTTTTCCTTTTCAGATATTAAAAGGCACTTTATCTTTTGAAGTTGAATATTATCGACCTTGAGGAGTAGAGTATCAAATAACACTTAAGGATTTTTTTTTTGTTCCTCGGAGTTGATATGCTGAAATCAAAACTGAAAAGGCAGGTGAGGCAATCTCCC